CTGCCCCTTATAACATTGAAGAATGGGTCAAATGCAGAACTCAAATCTCTCTACAACGATAAATTCACTTACTTAACATGAATGATACAAATACTGGGTTAGAGTACACCCATAGAGGTACTATCTTCACACTAAAATAAATGGTCAAATATGAGACAAAACAATAGAGAAGAGATTTGTTTAAACTAGAATGAGAGTATAAGAATGCGTCAGCAAATACATCCCCACTGGTTAAACAGTTAATTAACTCTCCCCCATTATCAGACCAACGTCGCTAATTACTTTTTTTCAGACACATTTTGAAGCCTTTCTCGCCCCTCTCCCTCTGTCAATTATCCAATCGCCCACAATGCATCACCAGCACATCCTCTTTTCTTCCCCTCTCCCCATTTTCGTGTTTCTTTTGCTTTCTATTGGCTGTTTGTTATCTCCCATCGATGGGTAACATTCGGTAGCCCAAACTTTGACCTTGTGACCCCTGCATGACCCCAGGAAAATGTAAGCATTGAAAAGAGACAGTGGTATTGAGGAGAGCTATCGGAACAGGCTTATCTCAACAACAACAGAGGAATATTACAGCGGCCTATGGGGATTCACGTACCACATTTTAAAGCTTACACACACTATTATCTGTGCAGGGCTTGTGGAGGTCTTTGCGCAGGCATTTTTAAATATATTGTATATAATGGTTGGTAGGTTTCAGATTTGAGAGTGTACTGTTCCTCTTTCAAATGGAGTAGGAGACATTATGAAATACATACGTTACACTGCTATATTTATTCAACTTCTTAAACGTGCATTATGGCAAGTCAATAGCATCGCCATGGAGACAAGGTGGGGGCAGGTTACATATGATTCTTTAAAGCAGACCTACTATGCAAAATCAACTTTTCAGAGCTTTTAACCATGTTATAGTTGTTCCCCCTTCTCATTTATCCTCCCGAAGTTCTATTTGGAGTGGTTCGTGCATGTTTGAGTAATCTTTAATCACTTTTTTTTAAGATGCCATACTGCCATTGAACCCTGTTTTCACCACCACCAGCATACAGCCACTACTCTGTAATTTACTTAATTCTCCAGTTTTACATTCTTAATCAGTGATACGTGTAGGATTCTGCAGCTTTGCATAGTTATTTTGGTATAAATGGAAAAAAAAATCTGCTGTTCACTAGTGTGACTCTTTGTTGTGATGATGTTTATGGTGACATCAGCTCCCATTGGGCACCGCAGTTTTCTAATGCAGAAGTCAGAAAATTGCAATTTAAAATGTAAATGCAAATGATAACATAATGATCCAAAATACACTCAAAGATGCTTTGGAGAGCATTATTCATTCACTTCTCGGTGGTGGTAAACTACTATTGTAGCCACAGCTGCCCTGGGTTAGACTGAGGGAAGTGATGCTGCCAATCTGCCCCATTGGCCCATTATGCCGACCCCTGCTGGCAATACCACAGAATGGAGCATGATGAAAATGCCACTTAGCAGCATGGCTATTTCCGACATGAGACTAATCAATGGATTATCTGAGTGTGTGTTTGGAAAACAACACAAAAGGAGCACATGGTTTCAGTTGTTTAAATTGATCATTTTAGACTGTTCAGAAGCAGAGGCATGCTTTTAATGAAGGGAGAACATTATCTTATCAAAACTAAATCTCCAAACATCTTAAAGGAGCATAGATTTGAAAATGCAAAACCAGGTAACGTCCCATGTTGGATTTTTGAAACGGCTAAAAGCCTACAACAGTTTAAAAACAGATTAGAGCAAATCCAGTGCACTTCAGATGAGTCTGAAACAATCACAGATACAACGGGATTAACATGCTCTTTCACATCCACTGAGGGAAAAGTGGATGGAGGCCTTTAAAAGTGAAAATTACACACATACAGAGACACACACAGGTGATGAAGAAGCAACTCATAGCATTTTGGTTCAGTGAGAAGATAGTCATAGCTCTTGCGACATGGTTATTTTTATAATTTATGGGGAAATAAATATCAAATGTTTTTAGGTAAAGTTATCCATATATATGCATTTCTCAAATTGTCACTAAAGGTCTAACAAGATTCATCTATAAAAAAGATATTTTGATAATTTGTTCTTTGCAGAAATTTATACATAATTGTAAGCATACAATTTAAAATTTTGCACCAATTTTCAGTAATTTACACAAATATGAAGTGAGATATACATTTGTTTTCATATCTAATATGTCAATAAACTGAGGGAAAAATTTTAAACTTCAATTTTTTTATTTTATTTATGATTTTCCTATTTACCTGCAGTTACTCACGAGAGTCAGTCTAATAAACTGTACAACCATGAAGAAAGAGAAAACTGCAGAAAATCTCCAGCATGAATCTATAAAACAATTTTTATGAATACCAAGCAAATACAAATTTCTGTTCAAACCAAAATGGCCGTAGTGGATTCAGCAGATGAGAAATTGAAGAGACACAGGAGTTAAAAAAAAAAAAAAAAAAACAGTGATTTTTCTCTGGTCTGCGTCTGGTTTTCTATAAGAGGAACGAGGAGAGATAAGGCTAAAAGGACTGTCACTCAGACTGAACAATCCGCACAGTGTCCCCTCCTCCTCTTCCTCCTCCTCCTCTTCCTCCTCTCCTCTGCTCCCGTCTGCTCCGAGTCTCTCCAATTTCCACAGATCGGAGCATAGATAGAGAGGAGCAGGCTGACATCATCGCAGAACCACACTAAACAAAACACTGTTACAGGACGGACACTTTATTAGGTACACCAAGCTTTGAGACATGCATTCATTGAGGGTTGTATAAAAAGTATCTCATTGTGGTTTCATTACTTTTTGCATTTATAATCTTGAAGTAATTTTCTTTATACTTTAATCGTGTTTGGGGTTTTTTAAATCTCACTGTACCTAGGCATAAAAGTGAAACCCACTATTGCTTAAGGGATCTGTGCTGTGTTCTGAAACAGGAAGTGCTCCACCTTCACTAGAATCACTTGGATAATTTCAGCCCTGGAATTGCCAATCGCTACTGAACTAAAGGTAAAACTGGAGAAAATACCGCTACGTGACATCATAAGGTGCAACAGAGCATTTTGAGCTTTGGAGATGTAGGCAGAGTAATAATAAAGGGTTACTCAAACATGTATAAATTGTTTGTGAGTTAACAACATTCTGTTGGCGTAAAGCTCACAGGAATCAATTTTGTGTAATATAGGACCTTTAACAAGGACTTTACACTTAAATATTGCCAACAAATAGGTGACTGATGGCCTTTGGCCTACATAGAACTCTTTGCCACAGGTTAATTTACAGTCATATCATAGTAGTGGTCACATTAGTAAACATATACATTTAATGGTGCACTGTGGATCTTTCTGGTGGTTTTTGATCTGCTAACTGCTTGTCTCATGGAGTCGTAATTGCTTAACCCAGAGAAGCCCACAGGCATGTACCAATACTGTTAACAATTTGGTGCAGATTCTGCTTTTACAAAAAAAAAAAAAAAAAATGCTGGTTCAGGTATCGGTTCCATGATATTGGTCAAGGTGAAGTCCTGCGGGACTGGATGTAATACAACTGGATGTAATACAGGCTGATTTTGTTCTAAAACATTTCATAATGTTTGAACTTTTATTCATACAAAGCAGTTCAGTAGTTATTTGAAGGAGAAACAGTTACATAACACGACTGGATCTCTTGTGCAAAAGGTTATTTGTATACAGCGTTTTTCCACCTTCAAGGCATATAAAGCTCTTTACATCAAGGAACCTCTCACCCAAACATGTAACCTCTAGCACCGGAGCTACTGACGCCTGGTGATAAGTTAATGGTATCATTTTCTATCCCTACACTGTTATCGATTAATATTAAGGGCAGATACTTAAAAGTCATTAAAAGTCAAGTATGGATATCGAGACTGAAAAAGATGGATCGGCATCCCTATCCACAATATGGGATTAAATTGAATCTATCATTTATTGAATTAAAGGCCAAATAAATACCTTGAAAAACATGGGTTCAGTGTACTTTTTGAAGAGTCACCACAGTGCATAGTTCTTAGATGTTCTGTATAAATAGCAGCATTGCTTTGACACATTAGTAAAGTCTAACTCGATTACAACCCAGTGCAGCAGCTCTCAGGTCACTGCACGTTCCTGTTGGAGACACAGCAGACAGCAGTGTGGACGAGACCAATGGATTCTGAACAGACGTCAGAAAATAAACCTGCCTGGACTTTACCTGTTTAAAGTTACCATTATGGGACTGTGTTTGTGACGTAAATGAAATGATTTTAACTGAGAAAATCTGAGGAACATGTGAGTGGCTTTAACATATGACTATCACTAATATGTTGTGAAAGTGATGTTGTTAAAAAAAAAAAAAAATGACTGCAAAAAATGCCAAACCTAGGAAAATGTTGAAAATATTTTTGTAAAAACTTGCATTTTTGTGAAATCTATAATCTTGTCATAGGCATTTTAAGTAAGATAAGCACAATTTTTTAATTTTTTTTTTATTTTAATCAGTTTTTCAGATAATGTCAACAAACCATGACTAAATGCTGCTTGATTTTACATTTGGTAAAAGAATAAGTGTGGGTGATACCCCAGAAATCAAAAACCATATAACGACAGAGCCTAGATCATAATTTAAATTTCATCAGAGTTCTTGTACACTAAAGGCTTTACATTGCTTTTCAGTTGTAACAAAAGACACTTTTGAGACTTCCCACTTCATTCTGATTGGTTAAATCCACCAGTCACGCTCACTAAGGGCATGATAAAACTGACCATAAGTGTCTTTATAACCATAAAGCTACATTAAACAGAAAACATTCAATCCCAATAAATGTTCAATGGTCATATACACATCCAACACTTTTCCAATCAAGGAAAAATGTCTCTCACACACACACACACATAAACAAATGTGTTATAAAACAAATCAAATGCCCCACATAACAATGTAAATCAACTATTACTATTATCTCCAAGATGTCAGAGTGCTACTGTCAGGACTGCACCATCTTTTTGTGAGGGTCGAACACGTAGCGTTTGAAGTTGAGATGAATGGTCACAGGCTGAGAGGACTCTGCTCTGGGCTCCTCTTCAACAGTTTTAGATTTACCTTTCTTCTTTGAGGTGGAGTTCAGCAGCTGCTTTGTCTCTGGAAGGAGGCCCTCTAGAGGAACAAAATAAAGGTATACATCATAAACACATTACTAAAAACATAATTAAATAAATAATTCACTAAATAACTAACTAAGAAAAAACTAGCAAGGCAAGTGAAGTGGCTTGCCCAAGGACACAATGTCAATATTTCGCGTTCCCAATCACAGCATCATGAAATTGCTCCCCTGATTCAGCAAACAGCTGAATGTCTCTCCCAGCACTTCACCCCATTTCATGAATGTCCCATTCTGTCTCAAGCTAAACAATCATTAATAAAGTGTAATCTTAGTAATGGGGATCTGAGCACCTCTAACGAACTTAATAAATAAATGTGTAAAAATGGTCTCTGAAAGTTGTGAAACGTGCTTCTAAGCTCCTCACAATGAATAATTCTGATGTTTAGGGGAGTGAGGAATAAGTTTGGAAACTGTTTATAATTGGTTTGTTCAGTTTTTTCACATCTTGCATTAGTATCAGTACTAACAATGATTAGAAGAATATAAATAAATAAAAACACAAAAATATATTTATATATATATGTACACTTTTTTGTTTTTGTTTTTTTTTTACTGAAAATGACCCAACCTGTTTTGTAGGTCACTTTTTCAGTTATGTCAGAGTTAGGTAACACTTTGGTTTGCCTCACGGGTTAATCTCTTCATTGTTAGATAGTATCTGTGCTGTCATAAGTCTATTGTTTCCTGTTATGTGTCCATTGATCAGAGATATGGACTGACCTCAGTCAGTCTTAATAATAGTCTAAGTTTACTGGTTATTCATTATTAAGGAACTACAAAGGCAGCATCAAACACGAAAAAGATTTTGTGTCTTTAGGAAAAGTCATGACAAAAACATTACTTTTTCAATATACAAATTTAAATGATTATTATTAAATAGTTAGACGTTAATTGACAAGTGCTAAACCATTTATTGAACAATTTTATATTCAATCAGCATTTTGTATTTATATTTTAGTTCAATTATACCTTACAACATTTTCACAAAGCTACACAGCCTTTCAAATCCCATATTATCACTTATCACAATCAGTTATCAGTTACTTCAGGAATTACTTGACAATCTTTTTCAGCCATCTTGTATTAGAAAGCATCAAATCTTAGAGTACACTTGTACAATAGTTTTAACTGATTTTTCAGGTATAACAAATACAGAAAAATGCCAATATGTGTTATATTGTATGTTTTCTCTTATTGGATGAGGGGACTCCAGCAGCCATTTGTTCATGCCATTGAGTAGATGGAGGAAATGTTTGTAATGTTGTTCCGCTGTCTGACAGGCTCACGTACACGGTGGCGGCGCCTGCGTTCCTTGCTCTTATCTGTGGAGTTACTGTGAGGGCTGTTTTGGTTAACGGCAGAAAAGCTCATCACATTTTATCAGATCTAAACCAAACCTGCATGGACTCGCACAACAGCAGTAAACAAATCATTAACACATGCATTCCAGGGACATGTACAGGAGCTTTCCAACATGAGCGTGATGGTCATAGGAGGGGGGAACTCAATTTTAAATATGAACTGAAATTCTTCCCAAGACAGTTATATATTCTTACATTTCTGAAAGGAATTAATTAAGATTAAAAAGGTTAACCTTCAAATCAACACATTTTCCTTTTTTTAATTCTTCACTTCTGCCAGTCTGCCCCACGGCAGCTGTGGCTACAAGAGCTTCCCGCCACTGAGTGTGGAGTGAATGAATAATGCAATGTTATGCACGTTGTGTTTAAAAAAAAAAAAAAAGAAAAAACATATGTAGCTGCCTCTGTTTTTTTAGCTGTTGCTGCAACAAAACAATTTGATATTGTGGTCACTAATAGGGCCTGACAGATATGGCTTTTTGGGCCCAATAATGATATAAAGG